TGTATTCTCCCCACTCAACTCCCTACAGCCAGCTGTCCTCCCCAAAATAACCTCACTTCTAAGGGCACGATATCTGGTTTCTGACCTTTTCAAAACCAGTTTAAATATCATGCTGTCAGCATACATACTGCTTTTTTAGAATTAAGAGGCAAAAACAGGTTGCAAGTAACTTTTGCTACACAGAGAAGGGAATGGGTCAAGCTGTCTACAGTTTTCACCAGGATTCGTAACTGTTTATTCTTTACCATGAGAATATTGATTCTGCTTATGACCTTGAAACTAAAGGTCCACAAAACATTAGAGGGTCACTCATTGGTTGGAGTTAACTGAGAAAAGCCCTATAACAGGACGGACACACACGCACACACAAAACTGAAGGACAAAACTCAGAGTTTATCATAATGAACTCCCAGACATAAGAAGTCATTGCTGAGACAGCTTCTTCAATAACTGGTGTTGGATGAACTGGACAGCTACATGCAAAAAAAAAAATGAAACTGTATTGCTGTCTAACTCTATATACAAAACTAAGCTCGAAATGGATTAAAGACCTAAATGTAAGACATGAAACTGTAAAACTCTTAGAAGGAAACACAGGCAAATATCTCTTAAACATAAGCATGAACAATTATTTTCTGGATACATCTCCTCGGGCAAGAGAAACAAAATAAAAAATGAATGACTGGGACTACAAACTAAAAAACTACTGTACAACAAAGGACATCAGCAGCAGAACAAAAAGGCAACCTACAGTATGGGAGAATATATTTGTAAATGATTTATCTGATAAAGGGTTAACATCCAAAATACATAAAGAACTCATAAGACTCAACACCAGAAAAATACATAACCCAATTTTAAAAATGGGCAGAGGACCTGAACAGACATTTTTCCAAAGAAATACAGATGACCAACAGGCACATGCAAAGATGCTCCACATTGCTAATCACCAAGGAAATGTAAATCAAAACTACAATCAGATATCACCTCATACCGGTCAGAATGGCTAATAACAAGATAGAATTAACAAGTGTTAGTGAAGATGTGGAGAAAAGGGAACCCTCCTACACTGTTGGTGGGAATGTAAATTGTTATAGCCACTGTGGAAAGTAGTATGGAAGTTGCTCAAAAAACTAAAAATAGAAATACCACATGACCCAGCAATTCCACTTCTAGGAATTTACCCGAAGAAAAGAGAATCTCTGATTCAAAAGGATTTATGCACCTATCTGTTTATTGATGCATTATCTATAATAGCCAAGATATGGAAGCAACCAAAGTATCCATTAATAGATGGATAAAGAAGATGTGGTACATATACATAATGGAATATTATTCAGCCATAAAAAAGAAATCCTGCCATTTGCAACAACATGGATAGACTTAGAGGGTATTATGCTAAGTGAAATAAATCAGGTGGAGAAAGACAAATACCATATGATTTCACTTATTTGTGTAATATAAAACAAATCAAACTAAAATGAACAAAATAGCAGTGGACTCACAGACACTGAAAAGTGACTAGTGGTTATGATGGGGGAGGGGTTGGGGTGGGTGGGTGTGGAGAGGAAGGGGGATAAAAGGGCACAAAAATTCTCACTCGTAATATAAGTTGGTCACACAGATGGTAGTAGAGCATGGAGAATATAGCCAATGATTCTGTAACATCTTTCTATGTTGACAGAGAGTAATACACTAGATGGGGTGAGGATTTAATAGTGGGTAACTGTTGAACCACTGTGTTGTATACTTGAAACTAATATAAGATTATTTACCCACTATATTTCAATTAAAAAAAGCCACTGCCCACCAGATAATTAACATAAAACTTAAACACAGGTTCTATACCTACCTACAATTATTAAATCTTAGCCTAAGGTGAGCTTCAAATCCATGTAATACTCTTGTTTCTGCAATATTTTCTTATTAGAAAGAGGTCTTTCTGGGAATTTCTACATAAACACATATAACCATTTATGATTCTCTGCTTTTCTTTTCCTTTTCTTAAACTGTCTTAAAAGTATAAACTTCACTTCAACAAATAGTGTTGGGGAAACTGAATATCCACATGCAAAGGAACAAAACTGGATTCTTACTTTATATCATATATAAAAGTAACTTAAAATGGATCAAAGACCTAAAATAAACAAAAATAAAATCAAAGACTATAAAACATAAGTGAAAACTTCATTAACACTGGATTTGGTAATGATTTCTTGACTGACACCAAAGGCACAGTCAACAAAAGTGAAACAGATTAGATTACATCAAAATTTAAAACATCTGTGTATCAAAGGATATAATAAGCAAAGTGAAAAGGCAGACAGCAGAATGGGAGAATAAATTTGCAAACCATATATTTGATAAGGGATTAATATCCAGAATACATGAAAATCTCCTACAATTCAACAACAAAAAGACAAACGAGCCAATTAAAAAATGGGTCAAGGACTTGACTAAACATTTCTTCCAAAGAAAATACACAGATGGCCAGCAAGTACATAAAAAGATGTTTAACATCACTAATCATTAGGGGAGTGGAAATCAAAACCATGAGTTACTATCATCTCACAGCCAAAAGGATGGCTACTATTTTTTTTTTTAATTTAAAAAACAAGTGTTGATAAGGATGTGGAGAAACAGGAACTCTAGCATACTACCAGTGGGAATGTAAATAGTATAGCCACTATTGAAAACAGTATGGTGGTTCTTCAAAAAATTTAAAACAGAATTACCATATGATCCAGCAATCCCATTTTTGGGTATATATCCAAAAGAACTAGAAACAGGCACTCAAGCAGATACTTAAATGCCCATATACACAGCAGCATTATTCACAATAGTCAAAAGACTGAAGCAACTCAAAAGTCCATTGACAAGTAAATTGATAAACAAAAAAGCCACACACACATACAGACATATCATTTGTGGTACAGTAATACATATGTATAAAAATGGAATACTATTCAGTGTTAAGAAGGAAGGAAATTCTGACACACATTACATCATGGATGAACCCTGAAGACATTATTCTATTGAAATAAGCCAGTCACAGAAAGACAAATACTGTATGATTCCACTTACATGAGGTATCTAGAACAGTTAAATTCATAGAGATCAGAAGTAGAATGATGGTTGACAAGGAAATTGGGGGAGTTGTTTTTTAAGTGGGTATAGAATATTAGTTTTGCAAGATTAAAACATTCTGGAGATGGGTTGGACAACAATGTAAATATATTTAACAATACTGAACTAGCACTTAAAAATGGTTAAAATGGTAAGTCTTATGTTGCATATTTTAGCACAAATTTTAAGCATAAACTGAACGGGATACTTGGTACCAATAAATTAAATATTTTAATAAAGAAATAAGCATATGAAGGTAATAGCCTTAACTTTAAAAATCTGTTGTCACATATTTATTTTACATAAAGTATATAGTATATTATCTCTCAATATTAACATGTACAGAATGTTATAATATTGTAAATGTCTTTTAAAACAAAAGTGTAATCTGTATAGTTGAAAATATCTAAAAAAACACTATACAAAAAGCTTATGTTCTGTAAAATTAATGAATTTATTGGAATATACAAAAGAATGCACGTGGTAATGGAAATAAGTTTATATCAAAGGCTAGTGCTTCATTTCATGTTAATACTCCCTTTCACTTGGGCAATTCAAAGAGCTTCACAAAATCTCAGGACACTAGAAAGAAAGCAGTTCATCTGTTTGAACCATAAACTGCACAGCAAAACTTACATCACAATGTTTGCTGATAAATGCTGGATTGGATGCTAAGTGTTGTGTAGCATAGACTCCAGTGGCCTCCCATGCCTATCCTATTACTCTTACCTTCAATTTGAGTAAGACATCTGGATTACAAGTTACTAGCAAATTTAAAGAGCAGATATTTCATAATACTTAGTATTACCTTCAATTTGAGTAAGACATCTGGATTACAAGTTACTAGCAAATTTAAAGAGCAGATATTTCATAATACTTAGTACCGGGCATCCAGGTAACAAAAATAAATTTATCCATTTGCACCCACAGAAAAATACATCCATTCTGAATTTATAAACATAAAGTTCAAAGTATGGTTTTATTCAATACATATTTTCAATTTGATCTAATAATAACCTACTTGAGAACACATCCCTGCATCAAAACAATGTATTAAAAACATTTGCATTATTTCATCCAAAGCAAAAATCAAGGACATAAATATGATATACCTTTAAATCAAAAAATAGTAAGATTGGGGCCTAGTAATTTTAATTTTTAATGTGCATTTTTAACAAGCACTCTAATAACACACAGAGAAACAATGCAAAATGCCCCACCAGTAAGATGTGAATTACAATGTCTTAGAAGTTTATTTTATGAGGAAATTTAGATTTCATTAAACCTGATTAATACAGGAACCCTCTCTACAATACTAACAGACTGATTTATTTTAGTAAGAAAGAATACCAACATTTACATTGTTAAGTACATAACATATGCTTCTCTGTAGGCTGCAAAGCCCAACCAATTATTTTAACAATACTGCACTGTTTGAAACTTAGTCACTTCTTCTTAGAACTAACTTCCAGTACAGTGCATGAGTCTTCAAACACATATACAAATTTTTTTTTAAATAGTTTCATTTATCTTATTTCTCCTGGTTTTTTGAGCAAAATTAGAGCTCCCTAGATTGATCACCCTAGCTCTCCAGAAGTTTAGGCTACTTTCCAAATACACCCTCACAGGGCAGATTTGCCACCACAGGAAATAGGATGTTTAGAAGACTGTTACCGGAGTATCTGGATACAGTTCCCAGAGAAAAAACTGTTTAAATGTTTTGAGTAGATGTCAGAGTATAGCCTCTCAAAAAGTCTGTTTTGAGGAAGATAATGTTCACATGGATGTGTACGTTTAAGAAGGCTTATTTTTTTAGAGTATACTATTGAACATTACTGAATACGTATCAGTAGGAATAAGAAAAAAGACATTACCTGTGATTGCTCTCTGCTGTGTTGTAGCTGCTCACTCAGAGGGGCAGAAAAGATTTCTCCAACTCTTGGCACTGCTGGAAACTCCCAGAAGAACCTTCTGAACTCTACAGAAAAGAACAAAACATGTCCCACAGTCATTAGTAAACTGTAAAAACCCAATCTAAGTTTTTCTAGTTTCTCCTACCCTCCTACTTAACACCTGTTCTTTTCAGATTGTGCTATCTTTATCATAAAAATTTTTAAGCAAAAAGTAAATCTTTATTTAGAAATATGAATGCTAGCCAAAAATGAGAGACTCCTGCTGTGTAGGACGAAGTAGAGAAGGATTCCTCTGTCCTCTAAGAGTTGTTAATAATTACATGTTTCTTTTAGAAAAGAAAAAATTGTGAAACTAAATAAATCCATATCCATGTATCAGCAGCATCATATTAAGATAATGACAACAATGTATAAAGTAGCAAAGACAGGCCCACAAATAACTTTCATGAACAACTTTTTTAAAATGTGCAATACTCCCCCAAAATTCCCTGGTACCTCTGACTTACCTAGACGTTCATAACAGAAAATTGAGTCTTTTACCATCTAATGGCAAAAGTTTACTTTGGCTTCAGTCACATCTCGTATCATCAGGCCTAACCGGGAAGATAAGTTTCAAACCACCAATGAATGGCCTAATCCCTACTGTACAACCAGAAAAACATGGGTTTGAACAAGGCTGGGAAATTGTCCTACCTGACAGAGGTACAGATGAACAATGCCTAGAGGTGTCCTGGAGAGCACAGCAAAAAGGCTATGCTAACCCCAAAAACTTAAAGCATACAAAAGGCAAAAGCTAACGCAAATGCTAAACAAAACCACAAGACGCCATACTCAAGATCAAAATAGGTGGAAACTAGACAAAATTTCCAAGAAAGAACATTTTTTTAAGAAAACAATACTCTACGTAAAGCATGGAAAATATTTAAACGCCTAATAAGTGGAGAAGAGTTAAGTAAAATTGAGACAATGATATAATTTACTTGGCAACAATTTGCCAGCCATCAAAAAATTTCATGAGTTCATGATAAATGGAAAGTGCCACTTGCCATATAAAGAAAACAGCAGACCATGTTGTAATTATATATGATCACAACTACTTCTGCAAAAGCAAGAAACAAGATGCAATTTGTTCTGACATAGGTATAAGTATTAGGTAAACTACTTCCCCAAATGAGATAGATTAAGGAGAGCAATTCAAACAGTCTAATACAGCAAATGCATCTTTTCAAAATCTTCGTGTAACAAAGATGAGCCACTCATTAATGTAATCATTTTTCTGCAGCAGTCCAATATATAAAAAGATGGTTCCCTAAAAGAGGTATTATATATACACTATAAGAGGTACATATGTGTTTGATCTACAGATTCCTCAAAGGCTTGGAATGTAGTATCTTTTCTTATAATAAATGTTTCATGAAAGGGGAAAAAATGGCAGGGACGGGACCTCAACGTGACCTAAATCTTCAACTCCATCATGGCAGTGACCAGGCACAAGTAGAGTGAGGGTAGGGCATGAGAAGTACAGGGCAACATTTTGCATGCAAATACACAAATTTTTCATTTGTTAAAAGGGAGAGAATAGGCGCTCCTCTCTCTGAGGTCCCCCGCACTTTCTAAGTGCATAACCTTTTAATCTTAAACTCTCTCTCTCTAACCTTTCAGGGCACCTCTCCTCGTTGAGGTTGCCTGCTGCACTTTTTCTCTCTTTAAGTACCTTTAAATAAAACTTTACTCTGCTTCAAAAAAGAAAAGGAGAGAGTAGACCCAAAATGGAGTCAATTGTGCTAAACCCCACATCAGCAAACCAAAACTTAATACCTAACCTAACTGCACTTTCAATTGCCCCAGGAATGTAACCTTTAACCAGTCCACATGAAATTAGCTGGACAGCACCAGTGAGATAATGTGCCTGATAGACACCGTCCATTCCACTTAAAAAGGTGACCTTGCCTGAGAGAATGCATTCTTTGCTAATATTTCCTTTTCCTGCCCCCTTTCTGCCTTTATAAATCTTTCCTTTTCTACAGCTCTGCAGAGCTCCTTTCTGTTGCTAGATGGATGCTGCCTGATTCGTGAATCATTGAAAGCCAATTTGATCTTCAAATTTACTCCACTGAATTTTTGTTGTTTAATAATACTAAAATTTCCACAGTACCTTCAAATATGCCTTATTCATACTAATCAATTAATCATTTATTAAGCACCTGGCACCCTGAAGTATATAATTCATAATCAAATCTCTGAGCATTTAATCCAAGAGGTGCTACAAGGAACAGAATGCTTTTTCCACAATCCCACATGAACAATTTTATCATCATGTACTGAAGATACAGAGGCTCTTCTACTGTCTCTTAAGGATTAGAGATTGCTTCCAGATGCCTTTCAGGTGATTTCAAGCCTTTCCTCATTCTGTGATTCTTGGATTATGAAAGGGCATCTCTAATTCATGAGAACACTTCTTCCACCTCAGTGTCCATTATCATATATTTCTCCCCTTCTACTCTACATTTTTAGGCATATATATATATATATCCTTTTAGTTAGATAATAAGGCATCACTGTGTATCAGTAAGGGCTTTATTAAGAACCACTTATATTTTCCCATCATGATTCTGCCAGCAGCAATGCTTTGGGACTTTAAAGGAAGTGGAGTCCCTTTGACAGTAATGCACAGAATGTCATTGAAAACAAGGGTAAACAGAACTCAAGTAAACTGCAAGGCCTCTCTTAAAATTCACTGGATTTTGATCAGTCTCTTGGTTGCCATCTCATTCAAAAAAAAAAAGTCTCCTCTAAAAAGGAGGAATTTGGCTGTCAACAATTCAATCATACTCAAATCTCTGCCTAGCTATGTCACATCCCTAGTTCAACAAAGGCACAAAATTTAAACTTATTTGCAGATGCCATAAATTCAGTGAATTTAGAAGTCTACTACGCTGAGTTCAGAAATCTGCTAATAGGCAGGGAGTGCACAAAAAGCACAGCAAAACCACCAAATGAGCACTGTGTGGGTGGAGGGGGGTGGATAATTAATATCCACATCATGGATTTCTCCCTATATCAGTGAAACAAATGCAGGGGGTGTTTTACACAGGAGGTGTGGATTTATCCACAGCACTGTATTAACAGAACTGTGTTATAATCAAATGCTTTCCTGGAGGGTAATTAACCAATCAATCAATCAAAACAGAAGCCTTGAACAATTCAATAGGTTCTCAAATACACGGATTTGACTATGAACTAACTATTGACTAATTTCACTGTGCAAAAGAGCTGAACTGAGGCAGTTATATCCACACGTGGGAAATGCAGAGTAGAACATATATAACACATAGGTCCACAACTCCTCGTTAAGAATGTTAACAGTAACTCCAAGTCTTAAAACCGATGGACCTCATCCAAACCCCTGAATTTTACAGATGATAAAAATGAAGCACAGAGAGGCTAAGTGACCTGTTCAAAATTAAACAACTGGTAAACAGTGAAGACAGAGGTAAAACCCACATCTACAGCACAGTGATGCTATCTTCTCCACATTGAGCTCACAATTCCTCAACTCTCAACCATCAAGGTGATTTCATTCCTCCCCCTGAAAATTTAAATGTAAAGCTTTGGGAAAAATTGAATCAAATGAGGCTTCAATCTTCAATTTCCATTCAATCAATCCCGGAGATTCTACATTCATTGCATAGGTTCTTCTTTACTAAAAAAAAACCCAGTGTAATTTGTATGACTTTGGAAAGCTCTCAACCATGAAGCAAATTAGTAAAATTGTAGCATATCACAGAGGACAGGCAGATAGACAGGCATTTAGAAAGGAATCAGGTATACTGATTTATTAAAGTGAATAATAAAGGTGAACAAAACCACAATCTAAGTATTCAAATGATGTTCCCCAATGTGACAACTACTACTAAGATGTTTGTTCAAGAAAAAGAATAGTAGTCATTGTTTAAGATTCTATATTTAAACAAATTTGGAAAATGCTACATTCTAAACATCTTAAATATTCACAAAGCATGTTATATGTACTAAGGCTCTAAGATGGTCAGTAAGAAAGAAGCCTGCTTCATTTTATTTGGTCAAATGTCCCAATCTCACTTGCCATCTTCGTTTTGTACAGCTGGTACTGACACCCTCTAAGAAACATGCTTCAGGGGGAACAGATAGCATTTCTGATGAATAACATCAGTATAACACCCACTAAACAGCATTCATAGTGAAATGGACCTCCTCTTCCAGACCCAACTGCTAAAAAATCAACTCACAACAGGGAAGCTAGCAGAGCAGGAGGGCCCTGAGCTCACCTCGTCCCGAGGACATACCAAGGCGACAACAGCATGTGATGTAACTCAGTCTGAAAATGACCTCAAGATGGGCACAAAAACCTCCCACAGCTAAAGAAATAAAGAAAAGCCACATCAAGAACAGTAGGAGGGGCAGAGATGTGGTCAGAAACCAAACCCCTGCCCACCTCTACAGGCCACCCCCAAGCAGAAGGGATATCACAGGTACCGAGGTCCTCTCTGAGGAAAGAGGGGATCAAGCCCTATGTCGGGCAGCCCCAGAGCCGGGGATCTGCACCAGGAAGACAAGCCCCTATAACATCCGGCTTTGAAAATCAACAGAGCTTAACACTAGGAGCTTTGGAATTGGTGGGGCTTAATTCCAGAAGGCTACAGGGAACTGGGACTCCACTCTTAAAGGGCCAGAACACTACATCACTTGCTGTGAGACCCAGCACAGATGCAGCAGTTTGAAAATTGCCTGGGTTATACAAGAAGGAGAGTTATTAACTAATTTTAAGACATGTGCTGGAGGACCATGGATCTGTAAGAACTTTCTCCAGAAGTGAAAGTGCTGCTGGGTGTCATTTTTCTTGCCCTCCTTCAAGTTAGCCAGCTAGACACTTTCAGGAGCCACACCCCATCTACCTTGCTAGAACCATCCAACCCACCCTGCTGCTCCTTGGCAGAGCCATCCTAGCAGGTGCCCCTCCAAAGCAGCACCTGTCCCACCACACCCAACAGGCATCCTCAGTCCAGACCAGCATCTCCCCAAAGCAACCAGCAGGCAACCCGACCAAGACCAGCACACCTTCAAAGTGATCCCTGCCCCAGGAGGAAGGGGCCTGCCTGCTGACTCACATACCCACAGCAGCTACAGCTAGCCTCTCAGCCAGGTGCACCTGTGGCTAGTCCTGCCCACTAATGTGCCTGCAGTAGTCACACCCAGTCATTGCTGATAGCAGTGCTGAGAGCTAGCCCTGCCTACCGGCACCCACACAACAATCACAGCCCCATCACAAAAAACAGTGCACACAGCCCAAGTGAAGGACACACCTGGAGTGCCTGGTTCTGGTGACCAGGGAGATTGTGTTACTGGGCCTCACACCTTCTACAAGAGGCCACTACCTTCAAGACCAGGAAACATACCTGGAAATACATAGAAACAAATGCAGATAGTCAGGCAAAAGGAGACAAAGGAATGTGTTCCAAACAGAAGAACATGACAAACTTTAGGAAAAGAACTAAACAAAACAGTAATAAATAATCTACCTGATAATGAGTTCAAAGTAATGATCATAAACATGCTTACCTGGCCTGAGAGAAGAGTGCATGAACTAAGTGAGAACTTGAACAGATAGAATGTATTAAAAGAAAATCAAAGCTGAAAAATACAATAACTGAAATGAAAAATGCACTAGAGGGAATCAACAACAGATTAGAGGATGCAGAAAAACAGATCAGCAATCTGGAAGACAAAGTAGAGGAAAGCTCCCAAGCTGAATAACAAAAAGAGAAAAGAATTTTTAAAAACAAGGATAGGTTAAGGAACCTCTAGGACCACATTTACACATATTAACATTCACATTATAGAGGTCCCAAAAGGAGAAGAGAAAGAGAAAGGGGCAGAAAACTTATTTGAGGAAATAATAGCTGGACGCTTCCCTAAACTGGAGAAGGATACAGACATCTGGAACAGGAGCCCAGAGATCCCCAAACAAGGTGAACCCAAGGAGATCAATCTAGTATATACCACAATTAAAATGTCAAAAAATAAAAATAAAGAGGGAATCATAAAGCAGAAAGAAAATAGCAAATAGTTACTTACACAGGAAATTTCATAAAGCTATCAGCAGATTTTTCAGCAGAATTTCACAGGTCAGAAGGGACTGGCATGAAATGGCCAAGTGCTGAAAGGAAAATTTAAAAAAAAAAAACCTACAAACAAGAAGACTCTACCCAGAAAAGTTATCATTCAGAATTGAAGGACAGAGAGTTTACCAGACAAACAGAAGTTAAAGGAGTCCCTCACCACTAAACCAGTTTTACAAGAAAATGTTAAAGGGACTTCTTGAAGTGGAAAACAAAAGGCCATAACTAGAAGAGAATTATGAAAGGAAAAAAAGTAACTGGTAAAAGTAAATATATAGTAAAGGTAGTAGATCAATTACTTATAAAGCTAGAATGAAGGTTAAAAGACAAAAGTAGTAAAATCAATTATATCTACAAAAAGTAGTTAAAAGTACACAAAAAAAGATGTAAAATATGTGATATACATAAAACACAAGGAGGTAGTAAAAACGTAGTGCTTTCAAAATTGTTCAAACTTAAGCAACCATCAACATAACATAGACTCCTATAGGATGTTCTATATATATGAGCAGGAGGGCCCTGAGTTCACCTCGTCCCAAGGACATACCAAGGTGACAACAGCATGTGATGTAACTTAGTCTGAAAACGACCTCAAGACAGGCAGAAAAATCTCCCACAGCTAAAGAAATTTTTAAAAACCACATCAAGAAGAGTTACTATGAATCTCATAGTAACTACAAACCAAAAACCTATAATAGATACACAGAAACAAAGAGAAAGGAATCCAAGCATAACAGTAAAGAGATTCAACAAATAACAAGGGGAAAAAAGCAAGAGAATAAAGAAACATAAGATCTACAAAAATAATGAGAAAACAATTAAAAAATGGCAAAAAGTACATATCTTTTTGTATGTAATCAACAATTTTTACAAAAAGGAATCAATAATTACTTTAAATGTAAATGGACTAAAATGCTCTAACCAAAATACATTCAATGACTGAATGATTTTAAAAACATGACCTATCTATACGCTGCCTACAAGGGACTCACTTTAGACCTAAAGACACACAAACTGAAACTGAAAGGATGGGAAAAGATACTCCATGCAAATGGAGTGGAAAAAAAGCTGGGGTAGCAATACTCTTATCAAGCAAAATAGACTTTAAAACAAAGACTGTAAGAAAAGATAAGAACATTGCATAAAGATAAAGGGATCACTCAAGAGATGGTAACAAGAGGATATCGTAATTGCAGTATCTATGTACCTAACAGTAGGGGACCTAAATACATAAAGAAAATATTAAGACATAAAGGGAGAAATTGACAATATGATAATAGTAAGGGACAGTTAGACCAATGGATAGGGCATCCATATTTAAAATCAATAAGGGACTGGCTTTGAATGACACATTAGACCAGATACAATTAAGAGATATATACAAAACATTCTATCCAAAAATAGCAGAGTACACTTTCTTTTCAAGTGTAAACAGAACATTCTCCAGGATAGATCACTTATTAGGCCACAAAACAAGTCTCAAAAGATTTAAGAAAACTGAAATCCTTTCAAACTCGAAATAGATAGCAATTACCAAAAAGAAATGGAAAAAAAAAAACGTGGAAGATAAGCAAGCAATGGATCAACAAAGAAGTCAAAATTTTGAGATACAGCAAAAGCAGTTCTAAGAGGGTACTTTACATTAATACAAGCCTATCTTAAGAAACAAAAATCTCATATAAAAAAATGTAACCTTATACCTAAAGGAACTAGAAAAAGAATAAATGAAGCCCAAAGGTAATAGAAGAAAGGAAATAATAAAGATCAGGTTAGAAATAAATGAAATTGAGATTATAAAAACAATACAAAAGATAAATGAAACTGAGAGCCTGTTCTTTCAAAAGATAAAAAAAATTATAAACCTTTAGCTAAAATCATCAAGAAAAGAAGATAAATAAAAGAAAGAGAAGTTACAAACACCACCACAGAAATACAGAGGATTATAAGAGACTACTAACAAAAAATTACATACCAACAAACTGTCAACATACAAGAAAAGGATAAATTCCTACAAACACAAATTTACAAGATTGAATCAGCAAGGAATAGAAAAATCTGAACTGATTACTAGTAACACAACTAAACTGTAATCAAAAAGTTCTCAACAAATAAATTTCTAGTACCAGATGGCTTCACATGTGAATTCTACTAAACATTTAAGGAAGAGTTAATCTATTCTTCTCAAATTATTCCAAAATATAGAAGAAGAAGGTATGCTTCCAAATTAGTTCCACAAGGCCAGCATTACATTGACACCAAATACACTACAAAAAAGAGAATTACAGACCAATATCTCTAATTAAGACAGATGAAAAATTCCTCAACAAACTATAAACCAAATCCAATAATACATTAAAAGGATCATTTACCACGACCAACTAAGATTTACTCCAGGGGTGCAAGGATGGTTCAGTATCTGCAAATCCATGAATGTGATACAGCACATTAACTGAATAAAGGACAAAAACAGTATGATCATCTCAACAGATGCAGAAAAAGTGTTAGACAAAATTCAACATCCATTCATGATAAAATCGCTCAACAAACTGGGTTTAGAAGGCACATACCTCAATATAATAAAGGTCATATACAACAAACCTATAGCCAACATCATACTCAATGGTGAAAAGATGAAAGCTTTTCCTCTAAGATCAGGAACAAGACAAAGATGTTAATCTCACTGCAGTAATTGAACATAGTACTGTAAGTCCTAGCTATGGCAATCAGACAAGAAAAAGAAATAAAAGGCATCCAAATTAATAAGGAAGAAATAAAACTGTCACTATTTGCAAATGACATGATATAATATACAGAAACCCTAAAGGCTCCACCAAAACTATTAGAATAAATGAATTCAATAAACTTTCAGGATATGAAACTACTATACCAAAATCTGTTCCCTTTCTACACACTAATAATAAACTAGCAGAAATAGAAATTAAAACAATCCCATTTACAATTGCATCAAGAAGAATTAAATAACTAGAAATAAATTTAACCAAGGAGGTAAAAGACCTGTATTCTGAAAACTGTAAGACACTGATTAAAGAAATTAAAAATGACACAAGTAAATGGAAAGATATACCATGCTCACAGATTGGAAGAATTTATATTTTCTAAAATGTCCATACTATCTAAAGCAATCTACAGAGTCAGTGCAATCCCTACCAAAATATCAGTAGTATTTTTCACAGAACTAGAATAAATAATCCTAAAATTTGTGTGGAACCACAAAAGACCCTGAATACCCAATGCAATCTTGAGAAGAAGGAGAAAGCTAGAAGTATTATAATTCTGTATGTCAAACTATACATTACAATGCTATAGGGATCAAAACATTATGGTACCAGCACCAAAACAGACACACAGATCAAAGGAACAGAATAGAGAGCCCAGAAATAGATAAACAAGGATCTGGCCAATTAATCTATGTCAAAGGAGGCAAGAATATACAATGGGGAAAAGGCAGTCTCTTCAATAAATGGTGCTGGGAAAACTGAATAGCTACATGAAAAGAATGAAACAGGTCCACTTACTTAAACCATATACAAAAATTAACTCAAAATGGATAAACAACCTAAAGGTAAGACCTGAAACCATAAAACTCCTAAGAGAAAACATAGGTAGAAAACTCTTAGACATCAACCTTAACAATTTTTTCTGGATCTGTCTCCTCAGGTAAGAGAAACAAAAGCAAAAATAAACAAATAGGACTGTATCAAACTAAAAATCTTTTTCACAATGAAAGAAACCATCAACAAAACAAAAAAGTTATTTACTAAATGGAACAAGATATTTGCAGGTGATATATATGATAAAGAGTTAGTATCCAAAACGTATAAAGAACTTGTACACCACCAAAAAATCACACAGTGCAATTGAAAAGTGGACAGAGGACCTCAATAGACATTTTTCCAAGGAAAACATACACAATGCCAGCACACATGTGGGAACCATCAGGGAAATGCAAACCAAAACCACAATGATCTATCACCTCACAAAAGTCAGAATGGATAGTATCAATAAGACAAGAAATAACAAGTGCTAGCAAAGATGTGGGGAAAAAAAAAAAAGAATCCTCTTGCACTGTTGGTTGGAATGTAAATTGGTACACCCACTATTAAAAACAGTATGGAATATCCTACAAAAATTAAAAATAGAAATGGTATAAAATCCAGTGATTTCACTTCTGGATATAAAAAGAAAACACTAATTTGAAAAGATATATGTACTCCTACGTTCACTGCTGCATTGTTTACAATAGCCAAAAATATGGA